ACACAATTTTAAGTAAAATTGAATAGCTTTCTTGTATAAAAATTACCTCTGGATCTTATACTTCCATTTAAAATGAAAGATGTACTAAAGGTAAGATATATTGCCACTTAAGGGGAGATTTATAGAATTATTGTGCAGGAGGGAAATCAGCTATACGACCTCAATTATAGTTAATGGGGACTGTGTGGCATACACCTCACTCACTAAGCAGAAAATACGATGGCTAATGCTATTGATGTTAAGATCACATTAAGCTGATAACTCATGCCAGATCTTTGAGATCTTATAGTTGGCTCTGATTTCAGAGTGTAAGTATGCTATTCATCAACAAGTAAGAAGTCTCTCATATACAAGGAAATACCTTATGTAACAAAATGTTATCATAATTGAGTAATCATAACTTCAGCTTGTCATATGATTTTCTTGGTTCAACTTTAATGCTCTGTTTTATAAGAGGATTAACTGATTAATACACTATTTAAAATTGTTATTGATATATTGTTTGAATAACTTTGAAGCATAAGATTTTAACCTCAGAATTTGCCTCATGATGCATTCACAAGTTCTTAAACATCTGGGTTACCAAAGGTTTGCATTTTTAAGGCAGTTGTCTGGATTTAAAAGTAAGAACAATAACTAGAAAATGACTTCTCTCTGTAAAACTAAGGGGAGGGCATTCTGTTCACCATTCCATACCAGCAATTTTCAAACCCTTCCTCAATCCAGCAGATAGATCTGCATCACCTCAGAACTTTTTAGAAGTGCAGATCCTCTGGTCTCATCACACACCTGCTAAATCATAACCTCTGAGATTGGAGTCTGGCATTGTGAGCTCCACATTTATCACCTTTGGTGATTCTGATAGTTAAGTTTCAGAACCATCATTCGAAACAAAAATGGTTACCAGCCCTTATACTCAGAAAAGGTAGTGATTTTTAGGTTTATTTATAAATATAACATGTGAGTGGAAAAATATATTTCAAGTTAATACTTTATCTTCTCGATATTAATTCATATTTTTGAAGTAACATATTTCAGAGTGGAAGAAGGAAGTACCATCATTGAGCATATTAGATATTTAAGACAAGAAGGTCCATAACTAAACTGAAATGCTTAGTAAGATGATGGTACATGATGGATACAGACCTCAGGCTCCCAGCCAGATAGACCACACACCAGAAAGGCAGCAAGCCTGTTGCCTGGTCTTGAATAACTGCAGCTGACCTAGTATGGGCTGGGTAAGCTAAAATCCTTGTTTGTACAATCAATGTCTGGGTCCCTCTTAAAATAAAAATTAAATTATTTTAGAAAACATGAAGAAAATCAAATAACTCCTCTTGAAAATATTCAAGCAGTTGAAATGTACTTTTAATGACATAAACTATATGTGAAATTTAAATCTTGGATAAATATTGTTTCATAAATATTCCTGAAAATATATATATATATATTTTAAATTTAAATATATTTAAATAAAATATATATATATATATATATATATATATATATATATTCATATATATATATGGTAAGGGCTTAGGATGCAGAAATAAAAATCATAGTCCCTACCTTCAAACAACTTGAACATATTTTTTACATCTAGAATATAGGTAACCTGTGATTGCCAATGTAATTTATGTTCCTGTGCACCCAAGATTAAAATAAAAGTGCTTTGATAGACCCCATTTTTTTCCTTTAAATAGAGAGATCAGAGATGATAAAGATTCAGACAAAAAGTCTCTCTGATTTTTTCTAACATAAATCTAAGAATGAAATATTCTGCTACACCAGTCTATTTAAACAAAGTGTATAAGACTTTAAATTATTTCATAAAAAGGCAATAAATTAATCTAAAATGTTCACATAATTAACATAGGAGAAATACTTGTCACTTTTACATCATTAAATATGATACATGTTCCATTATCATTATCATTACTCAGGAATCATTGTGCACAAATAAAAGTTGTGTAATTTACTAGGATCAATTGTAATTAGCATTTGTTCAAATTAAAACCTTTCTAACATCAGTTGAAATCTCTGATGAAAACATGTTCTTATTAATAGAATTATATCGAAGATTTGCCTCTTTCATTTGAAATGTTGAGGTTTTCAAATTTGATTGTGTTTGTTCAGTGCCAAAAATTTAATCCCACTCAAGAGTACAAAGATCAACACCATGTATAAGTTATTGTTTAAATCACAATATGGAATCAGTTATATTTTTTCTGGAGTCCTTCATAAGATGTTTCTTACAGCATCTATTTAAAAAAATTATCAACTTATATTTTGTTAGTAATTACATTCCTATTCATTATTGCACTTTAGAGTGCAACACCATAATTAAAGAAAGTTTTAGGGTATTGTAAAATATTACAAATTATGTTTGAGTTGTCATAATTTGCTCTTTCTTCCTATGGAGGAGCAATGGTTTCTTATTTGTGGCCTAGAGTGATGGTAAGAACATCTACAGAGGGCTTGCAATAAATCATATTTATAAATATTTATTTTTGATTGATTTGCTTAACACGATCTCTTATGTTTATATTCATTAACCACACACACCCACAACTTTTTATGTGACTCACTTTTTAGGGAGATTCAGGAGGACCATTAATGTGCGAAGAAAACAACAGGTGGCTCCTTGCTGGTGTGACATCATTTGGAGACAAGTGTGCCCTTCCTAACCACCCAGGGGTGTATGCCCGAGTCACAAGGTTCACAGAATGGATTCAGAGTTTCCTACATTAAGCCTTTCCTAAAACAAACAGGAAAGTGGGCAGTTTTCCTATCCCACTCTAAGAAACATACAAACTGGAGTTTTGTGGGTAAAAAAGAAAAGTTACCACAAGCCTTATTTATTCTAGTATAGGCCACTTAAAGTGCTGGGATGAGAGGAAGGCATAAAATACAAAAATCTTAGAATTAATCTTGGTGACACAAAGTAACTTCTCAATTTTGATTTCATTCTGAACAGATCTTTCTTTCACAGATATCATTCCTTGGTTTTTAATTATTATTTTTGCCACTGTCTGTTATTTACATTGATTTGATTTTAAAACACAAACCACACATTTTTAAAAGTTTGATAAAAATTAGAAAAAGAAGTAAAATAAACTGTATTGCCCAAAGTATGTCATTGTTTGAAATAAACCACTCTAAATTGTCTGGTTTCAGTTTAGCATGTTATTACGAGAATCTCAACACTTTTCTTGCTTTTCCACCCAATGAATTTCCATTTCAACTTGAGAGTAAACTTAATATTTTCCCTGATCATATAAAATATTTATTGTAAGTTCATGTCACAGACCTAATTGTGACATGATTAGTTGCCCGTTTCCCTCATATAAAACTGAGCAGCAAATACACACAGGTCTCTATATCACCTTAGCATTAAAACAAAAAATAAATTAACAAATATGGTTAGTCTATACAGATCATTTTTACCTGGATAAATCATACCGTCCATTTATTTTAAGCTAGTCTTTTTAAGATTCAGAATATAAACAGGCATATTAAAGAAATGTAACTGCTAGAAATGTTTTTCTGTTCTTGGTTTATGTGTATTATACTTGATATTTCTAGCATGTGAAAAACTTGTTAAGACACAGCTGAATTGCCCATTAGAAGGCCAAAAATGTGTAATAAATGAATTTTCTTTGCTTCTTTAATGTCTTGGATAATTTCCAGAGGAACTGCAAACTTCAATTTAGCTGACCACACAGAATCTGTTGATTTGGGGTACACAAAATTTATACTTACTTAATGCAAAACACATATGTACACGCATTCTTGCATAAGCATATTATAGAAAAGAGAGTGATATTTAGAGGAGTTTAAAGAAGGGATTAGTCAGTATGGATTGACCTTATGAAAGAAAGGAAGTTTGAGTTATTCCCAGAAGGAATGATTATTACTGATTCATTTAATAGGGTAGCAGGGTCACTGCAAAGGTGGTCCCTGAAATCTTGTAAGTTTGAGAAGAGTGGTTGGTAGCATGTATTCTGGTACCAAAAGCATCACATTGGTAACAGTCATACTAAAGGGAAAATGTCATATAAAAAAAAAAATGTGTAGCATGATGGAGGACTACAGATGCCCATAAAGAACTGTGTACTTTATTCTTAGGACAAAAATCAGGAGCCCCTGAACACACTCTTCAAGAACTTTTTTTTAATTCTTGGTCAACAGGAATGATGAAGCAGCAGGCATAGGTTGTGTTGTTTGTGTTTAGTACTTGAACATTATTCCGAATTTCTTCTGTATTTCCCAGCACATATTAAAGCTATGCTCTGAAAACATGAACACAACAGATATACCATCTTCTCCTTTTCATTTTCTAAAGTCAGCTAAACTTTTAGAAAACTCTTAGGACAATCAGTATCATCTTCTAATAAGAGAGGAGTTTGCTTTTTCCACCTTTAGTCATTTATGGATTTAGTCATTAATACCAGAAGAGTTATTCAGACCTGGATAAAGATAAAGGAGAAAGCAAAGCCGGTCTCCATCATTTGCCTGCTTCTGCTGTGCAGCTGTTACAGTCCTGGGTGGCAAACACAGGAGAAACCTAGTCTCCCTTTCATCAAGTCATGAATAAGTGAAGAAGTGTGTGATGGTAGTTTGGATGGAACAGGGAGGTGCTAGCAGCTGGCTTCCAGTTCCGCCTATGTGGATGAGTAACCATGGAAAGAAGAAATGCAAAATGAGGCCAGATCTAAGCTCAGCTTGCAGATGGCCATTCTCTCAGTCTTAAAGCACCTGAAAAAGGGTCAGTAACTACTGTTTTCTGTTTCACACCTCAATTTTGCCAGTGAACTCCAGGAAATGCTTAATTACAGTATTTTATTATCCAACTGAAAAGAATTAACAAAGAAAAGTTTTTCTGTTAGCTCTATGCCCACAACTTTCATTCTTACCACACTTGAACAGTTTTCATCTTCATGTAGTGATGCCACATATCGACTTTGTGTTCACATAAGAAATTTAGACAACACCAAGGATCATTCTTCAGAAACAAGGATTCTTTATTTGGTTAAAAGGAGCACAGGGACATCTGAAGACCAAATAGTTAACAACTCTATCTTGAGAAGAACAAGTTATAAGCATCGAAGAAATTAGAAGACAGAAAGGAGCCACTGTTTACTAGCGCAAACAAACCCTCTTCAATGAATATTCAATCACTAATAACTTCCTACCCATGTGACACTCATTCACCTAATTTGTAGTACTTTTCCCATCCTGAAAACTTGATGTGCTGTGCTTAGCTCCATATTGATGGTGACCATTCACCTGGTCCCAACTCTAAGACCTCTTCATATACTTAGAGAGGCTAAATTCAGCCAGGGCAAATGCTGCAGCTATCTGCCTCCCGTGTCAACCCCAAACCCCAAACAACCACCTTTGTTTGGTGGGGAAGGGAAGGACCACCTTGATTCCAGAACCCTCAGAGAGCTACTTGCAATTATATAGGCAACATGTGAAGACATATGATTTATACTGTGTATGTCGCTTCTTTTGTTCACAACTGACTGCATTACTGTTTATATAGCTATTAGTAAAGTTATTCTATTACAAAATCTGTTGAATTTTAAACTAAAAATTATTGTAAGGCACATGTCTTACACAATTGAAATAGACAATGCTTGCCTCTAGGTAAAGTGTTTCAGGAGATTTATACCACAGTTAATAAAACAGCTTCTTTCTGAAGATATTTCCTAAACATTGTCCAACCAAAAGCAGAAAAACCAAATGAAGATGATTAATTTCTAGAAAAGAATTTTTTACCCCCATGGTAGTATATTTGTGTGTGTGAGTATGTGTGAATTTAGTTAACAACAGTGATATACTTCTTTAATCAAAACAGCATGTATTGAAAAATGAAATGCCATAAAAATAAATATTAGAACAGTCCATTTTTATCAAACACTTATGCAAAGGTAAAATATTTTTGCACACTGTAAATTTCAATACAATTTACTTTACTCTAACTAGATTACAACCTATGAAAGGTGAAAGAAAATAAAAATAACTGCTTCCAACACACATACTCTTGATGTGTTGATAGCAATTTTATCTGCATGGTCCATTCCATTTACTTGAAGTTGGGGTGCATCCTTTAGCAAAATAAGCATGTCTCACTCCATTATAGCACAGCATATTTTATAAATGAAATAATAAACATATAAAAGTTGTTTGAATATTTGCCTCAAGGGGGAGCTTACAGTTCATCTTGCAGGTCCTTTGAGATTTCAAGCCATTCCAAGCTAATGTTCTGATGCCATTCCTTATACTGATCCAGAATTATAAAACAATTTTGTTTTCTGGAGGCAGGTTAAGATATTATTATACTTCCATGCCACTTTCCTTTCTGGTACTCTTTGAAATCCACAGGGTAGACTGATTAGGGCTAGTTTTTGTTCTTCCTTTACTGAAAAACATAAAAAAAATAAATTCAGCACCTAAAACTTCTTATCAAACTAATCAAGTCTTGGTCCAAATGGAGATCTCTCAGACACTTATTTATAAATGAATCTTTCTTCTCTCATCAGCATATTTTTCCAGTCCTACAAAAAAATACTGGATTATTCCAATGTGTAAAGATGGCAAACAATTCTTATGATGACAAACACCCAAAGTGTCTTTCTCTGAATCTTCATAATTCAGTGTGATAGAAAAAATGTGTCTGACACAAAAATTTTCCATTTTTCCCCAGTAAACATGTGTCTGTTTATGTTTGTTCTTGGTCATTTTTTTTCTTTTTTTATAATCTTGCTTTTTGAGTATACTTCTATAGATGTATGTCACATTTAATATCAAATCATCAGAAAACTTGTTCTGGTACTAAGTGTAAGAGCCACCTAGGCCTTCCTCCCATCCGTTTTCCAGTTCTATACTTAGGTCACTTGGTCCCTAAAAACTTAACTATGCCTCAGCCTCTGAAACCAATGAAGTTTAATGGCAGAGCCAAGCTTTGATAATTTGGGAACATCTGAGTTCCTTAACCAGATCTGAGTTATAATTTACTCTTGTCAGAGCTAACATTCTAGCCCACATTTCCAACCTGTGCTTGTGGTTTAACTTTTCTCAGTAATAGGTCTTTCCAGAGACCTACAGAAGTGTATATTCATGTTTTCTTAAGTCCTCTACCAGATTACTTGTCAAGACCTGGACTCCTTTGGTCTAGTTTTCCGAGGTTAATCTCTCACCCGAATCACTGTTCTTAACCTGTCCTTGTTTACTGTGTTCTGCCCTAATTTCTTCCCATGAGCATCTCCTCTCAAACCTGCAGTATCTTCCCTAGCCCCCCACTGGCATGCCTCTCCCATTCCATCCTCACCATCCAAAGACATTGCAGAACTCCATCAAAGAGAAGAACTATTTCTAACCACATCTTACTATTGTATTTTAAATATTATTTAATTCTTTTCAATTTAACTGTTTTATGACAAAAATATTATATTCAAATTTTATATTTTGTAGCTTTTCCTCCAAATAAATAAAAACATAACTGTATTCTACAAAGTCATCTAACATAAATACAAAACGTTAGGCAAAGTTTATTAGAACCATATTTTTAAATGGTTAAAAAAAAAACTGGTTAAGTTATTAATGTGACTTTTGTGTAAAATTAGTATTTAAGAATCACTGCTGGTTAAGGGAATGAGAGTTATTTTGAACATGACATGGAATGACAGAAACCATCATGTGTACCAGATTGGAATTTAAACTTTCTGCAAGGCATTCAGATGATAATGGAGTTGAGTCTTTGATGAAGTTTCTCCTTGCTTTCCTGGAAGAAAGGAAAAGGGGAGGATCTAAGAATGAATGAATGAAGTACTGTAGTTAATTCTGGCATCTGGAAATTCTGAGTTTTCATTTATTCTCTCATTATGAGAATTTCAAACATGGTAAAGCCCACAGATCTTTGTGCTTCCTTATAAACCTACAAGATTTTGAATGAATAGAATTGCCATAACAATGCACTATTTGAGAGCAAAACAAAACAAATTTTTGAGAAAATGCAGTTACTTGGCACTTTTAGCCCTTTTCACTTTACAGGTGAGAATGTCTAATTCATATTTTCAGATCATTTTCTCAAGCTGATCTGCCACTCACTGGTCTTCCTTAACAGTTTGCCAGGTTAGAAGGGGACTTATATCCAATCCTTCTGCTTCACAGATTTTCACAATGAGAAATCATCTTTCCATCTATTGTCTTAGGAATTAGGACAAGCAACTACATATGTACTATTGTCCTTATTCTGTACATAATATTGAAAAATAAACCTCCATTGTGTCCCACATATATATTAGAAAGCCAGGAAGACACAGGTATGATTTTGATTTGCCAGGCTCTATTTGTCATTATTCAGAATGATTTGACATCTAGGGAATTACACATTATATCCTTTTAAAAATCTATGTGAATTACTTTAACCTACACAATTTTTTACCTGGGTCTTTGGTTACTTAGTGGAGTCTTTGGGGTTTATCTAAGGAATGATTTCATTAGATCCTTCTCTGTTTGAGGCATTCTTTAAGATCAGTATCATCTAAAATACTCCAACAAAGATGTTTAGGTTCTTCTAACAAAAATGCTTTTAGTTTGAAATCCAATATCTTTTGCTCTTTTCTTTTACTTATTTATATTTCATTTTTAAAATCTTATTGACAAATTGACACAAGAAAAACTTCTCTAACCGAAGAGTATGGATAAATAGATATAAAAGGTGGAATATTCCTCAGAAATCTGTTAATAAGGTTGATTTTGTTTCAAAGACCTGCCAAAGAATGACATATTTTTACCACTGTACTGTATTTCCTATCCTTAGAATATCCCTTGGGAAAAAATCAGAATCCTATGACTTGAATTTGGAAAAGGTACTATAAGTACATCTACAAAAATCAAGTTTTACATACAACTTGATGTCAGTACTGGAAGGCTTAGCATTAATTCTTATATTTAATAATTAGTGGAGAGTATAGCATAGTGCATCTATTATTAAGTTTATAAGCATTCAAATTTTAGATCCCTTCTCTATGCTACTTTTGGGACCCAAGACAGATTAAGGCACCACCTAAGGCACCATCTTTCCAATTGAAATCTAGAAACAGAGAACACCTACTTCATAAGAATTGTAAAGATTAAACTGTGCACTGTGTGACTTCTGTAATCAAGGTATATTTTGTAAGATTGAATGTACTGGATTTGTATTGGCATATATGAACATCAGAAGCCAAATTTAAAACATAACTAATATTACAGTAATATTTTTAAAGATTTCTGAATACTCGTATTATGGTTTTGATATGAGATATCATATCATGTGTGAGACAATGCAAGAAAGAATAGAGGTGAAATGATTGGATTATGAGTGTCTTTGGGGTTTTTTGTTGTTGTTGTTGTTTTTGGTCTTTGATACCAGGGATTGAACTCAAGGCACTCTACCACTGAGTCACATCTCCAGCCTTATTTTGTATTTTATTTAGAGACAAGAGTCTCACTGAGTTGCTTAGCACCTTTCTTTTGCTGAGGCTGGCTTTGAACTACGGATTCTCCTGTCTCAATCTCCCCAGTCGCTGGGATTACAGGTGATTGCCACCATACCTGGAGGATTATGAGTGTTTTAACCTAATCAGTGCATTAATCCACTGATAAATTAACTGGGTGGTAAATGTAGGCAGGTAGGCCTGTGGCTTGAAGAAGTAAGTCATAAGGCACGTGCCTTTGTCCCTGGTGGGTGCAGCTCTCTCTTCTTCCTGATTGCCATACCTTGAGCTGCTTTCCTTTGCCATGCTTTTCTGCATCATCTTGGGCCCAGAGCTGTGGAGTGGGCCATCTATGTACTGAGACCTCTGAAACCCTAAGTCCCAAATAAACTCTTTTGACTCTACAGTGTTTCTGTCAGGTCTTTTGGTCACAGTGATGAGGAAGCTGTCTAAAAAAAGAATTTAAAGTTTTTCAAGTTGTCTCTCCATAAATGAATTATTTACCTTTTATGTAGCATCTGGAAACAGCAGGTTCCAAAAGCAACCAATATCAGTAAAAGCAGTGGTATCGTTGGTATAATAACATAAATTAGATTAGGAATTATGCCTACAAAAGTAAAACAGACAGTGTACAAAGATAGTGAGGAAGGATTCTAATACCAATCACATAAGAATTTCCCCCCAAAAATCAAGGTCAAATAGAACTATTACCAATAAATAGATTCCAGACAAGTTTCATCCCAAACTATTATAAATCTAATGAAATAAAATATCCATATTTTAGTAAAAATTAAAAAACTAAATTTTACTCCACCAATTGTCATACTCCAATTCAATATCTGTACTTTAAAACTTTTATTAAATCTGTATTTCAGACATGGACTAATTTTTATAATCTATTCATAATCTTGATTTCTTTATTTCATGAATCCTTCTCAGTCATTACTTAGAGAAACAAGCACTGATTATTAAGGAATAATTATTAAGATTGTTGTTGACTTATTGGATAATTATCCTAGCCAATAAACAGTGCCATGATATTATGCAAGTCTCTGGGATTAAGTCAAAATGTGTAAATATTAACTAATGATACAATCATAACCCAGAGGCATAAGACTCCACAGGCGCAAAGACATGATCTTAATTAAATTCTAAAATGAATCATTTTAATCCTTTCCCATCACACTTGATAATGTTAGGTATTCTTAGTAAAATTAAAAAAAAAAATCTGCGGCACTCAAGTCTCACACAGCATGAAATGACTTTATTAGATATCTTTTCAATGTTGTACAAGATGAAATAGTCCTAACATAATTATTTACTGATATCTTTAATTAGGTTTAGATATTCTGAGCAGTTTTTAGATCATACACCTGGAAACTGAAAAGTACTGTCTTAATATCACGCCTGTACAAGGAGTGGAAATTGAACAATCCATGAATTTAGCTTGCAAGCTCCCAGCTGTCATTATGACTCATCTAAATAACTGGTCAAAGTGGTCCAGATGAAGATCAAGCTAGTCTCTTAACTGCATATCCCTTCCTTTCTTAACAGAAGAAATATCAGTGAGATTTAGTGAAAGGGTAATTTGGGGATATTTCATCTCCTCTTTTGAGCCTCCAATAGTGATAGAAAGCATTTTAACAATTAATGAAATATTTTATTTTTAAAATACCATTATCATATTTAATATATAATGATAAAGTTAAAGAGTAAATATTTCTTACTATTTTATGGATTTTGAATCACTTGCAGAAAGATTTTAAGACTTTGGGTCTTGGGCTCAATCTTTGCAAAGCAACTAATATAAAGAAATCTTCTATCCAATTGGCATAGGGTTATGCTAAAAAGAGCCCCCAACTGATATTGAGAGCAGTTTTTGATTAACATGCAGTTTGTATTGGGTATTGCATTTCATTTTCTTAGTAGGCAATGGTATGTGGGAGGCAGGCAGAGAAGAGCTCATAGTACTCATCTCTTCCAAAAGTGCTATGTGGTGATGTCACTTTGGTAGTCTGAAACTAGCCAGGTAGCAATATTTACATTACAGAAATTGGAAAAGTCTACAAATATGGCTTTTCATTTTACACCTCACTCAGACAATCTCCACTTACCAGCACATCATTGTTTGGAGGCAGTGCATGAAATTTTCCCCTGTATTGGGGAAATTCTTTGTAGATCCAGGATTTCACATGGATCATTTAGTTTAGTACCAGATATATCCCCTAGAAGTATAAAAAGCAGGTTCTTCTACTAAAAGAGTAGCATAGCATAATTTGTTGTAAATTAGTTCAAAATTAAACTCCCATTGGCCCATATTTAGTGTACCACTTCCCTAAGCAACAAGAACTATTTCACTGGGGTCAAAACAAACAAATATTGGAAAGTGAAGTTCTGTACTCCACAGAGTCAATACATGTGAACCAATTACCTGCTTCAGTAACAACCACATTTTGATGGGTGTCTCCTGGTTGGTTTGTAAGATAAGGCTTTTCTACAGGTTCTGTTGGATTAATCTCTGTAAATAATTAGTGCAGAAATCGTAAGTAATAATTAAACAAGAGAAATGCAAACATAAAAATATTTTTTTATAAAACAGTGAAAATATACTGACTTTGATTTCTGAATTGTTTACAACTAAGAATGTGTTCTGAATTTAAACTTTTTTTAAATTTTTATTTATTTTTTTTAGTCATACATGACAGTATAATGCATTTTGCCATATAATACATACATGGAATGTACATACATCAATCATATTGTCTATTCTATTCTGCTGCCCTTCCTATCCTCCCTGCTCCTCCCCTCCTCTCCCATTCTTTCTCTCTATCCAATATAATGTGACACATTTTTTTTCTTTTTCTCATTACAACATCATATATATATAATCTGTATAACAATGAGGTTCTCCTTCCATCTTCTGTGCAACTCCTCTTCTCCCTCTTTTTCCCTCCCACCTCTCTTCCCTATTTAGTGGTAGTCTTCTTCTCATGCTCTTCCTCCCTATCCCATTTTTGAGTCACCCCCCTTATATCAGAGAAGACATTCGGCATTTGTTTTTTAGGGATTGGCTAACTTCACTTAGCATAATCTGCTCTAATGCCATCCATTTGCCTGCAAATGCAGTGATTTTATCATTTTTTAGTGCTGAGTAATATTCCATTGTGTATAAATGCCACATTTTTTAATCCATTCATCTATTGAAGGGCATCTAGGTTGGTTCCACATTCTAGCTATTATGAATTGTGCTGCTATAAACATTGATGTGGCTGTGGTTAACATAAAATGTTCTAACTATACAGTCAACACTTAAATTATGCTTGAATTAAAAGATCCCTTGATGAATTCCCTCTGAAACTGTACTTAGCAATTGAGGGCAGGTCTGTGTTGATGACACCCTGCTACATGCAATAATGATAAAGCAGAAGCGAAGTTAGACAAAGAGAAGCAAGAAATTGCAAACACAAGAAGGAGACTTTAGATGCAATTCAAAGACAAGCATTTACTATTTACTAACCTATTTACTAACATCAATTTAACATTTAGGTTTCTTCTTGTATAATAATCTGCAGACGACTACTTATGGATTGCGTTTTGAATCAGTGATTCAAGACTCAACAACGTTCTGAAGCACATTTCTGTCCTACACAAACAATGCCATTCTTAGACTTGCTTTCCAATAGTATCTACTTTTTTATATTACACTAATAAATTCAAGCTTGAAGTTGTTTCTTTTCCGCTTTTATGATATGAGATTTCTTCAATAACCAAAAATTTTAAATGTTGAAATTTCTTACCATGATTTGCTACATGTAGAGCACAACTTCTCCAATCAATAACAACTTTTTCACTGAGGTCAATGTGAAGAAGTGCTTGAAAGTGCAGTTTTGTACTTGATACAATCAAGCACATGAATCAATTACCTGCTTCTGTAACAACCGCTTAATGTATTTTTTATCTAAGGAATTATTTCGTTTATTAATAATTTAGAGAAAGTAAATTTTATAATCAAGAGACCTATAAATTTGCTTTCATTTGTTCTAAAAATGTAATTCTGTTTACTTTTGTCAGTTGATGTGAAAAAAAAATCATGTGCAATATCTTATATCATATTTAGAATACAGATATTTTAAAAGTGATGTTTACTACTCATTTATTGCCATAGAGTCTCTAGTCATTTAACACTTTAACAGCCTCCTTTAGGTTCCAGATTCAGTCCTAGCCTATATTCTACAGATGTTAGTCATTCTATGACTTCAGGTAGTCAACTGGTATTTATTGAGCGAATTATAGACAATATGCAATAAATCAACATTGAACTGGTTACTTTTCAAATAATTTCAACAAACTTTTATATTATTGCTGATTAAATATAATTTTAGGAACATAATTGCATACATGTTTTTTAGTATCTAAAAATAAGAGTGCATAAGACAATTTTAATATATAAATTTTAGCTTCAGATCTATCCTAATGAAAATATCTTTGGATGATATTGGTAGACCCAAGGAACAGTTATGCAACTCACAGTCCACTAACAAAAAATGGAAGAGAGGAGAGAAAGAAGCTTAAAAGTGAATTATTCCATTTCTTCCTAGCAAGGTTAATATTTTTCACCACTTTTGATGTCACTGGTAATACTATTAGATGGTGTGCAGGAGCAGAGAGACAAGAGTTCATATCACTTAGTAGTTCTAGTAAAGTTGGAAAATAAAGTTCAAAATAATCAGTGTTATAATTTATATTTTTTAATTAGTTACAGTCCTAAGTCCTTTAACTCCTCACCACTGAAAGTCAAGCAGTGACTATAAACCTGGGGAATTAATGAAACCAAATCCTCTACAAAGTAGGAAGTAAGTTTGAGGAAACCTGACTACATAGAAAACAAAGAGTAAAATGTTAAAATTAAAATAAAGAATAGAAATTCTAAGCACATTTATAAAAGCAACTCTAACCCTGTGCATATGATAAGAAACAGTATGTATGTAAAAGGTGTCTTACTTAATAAATGTAGATTATTTGAAGATTGGGCAGAATGTAGAATGTCTTAAATTCTCTTATATGAATAATATAAACCTAGATTACTGACACAAGATAAGAAAAGAATATTGTAAGTTTGTTTATGTTGTACATAACAGAAAAAGTTTGAATGCAAATAAAATAATAATAAAATAAAATGATCAGGTAGCTCACCTAATAAGTCAAAAGAAACAAAAGGGAGATATTTTACTGAGAATGTTCTTATAATGTATTCTTTGTTTCATCCAATACTTTTAAGTACATAGTGGTAAAAATTTTAAATATCAGCGTATCTCAACTTTATATTTTTCCATGAGAAAAATACAAAGAGGAAGAGCAAAAGTACATAACAGTCTTAGCTTTGGAAAGGCTTCCAGGAGGGTAATGATGGATTTAACAACCAAAGAGGTTAAAGAATAAACTCACCAGGGATATACAAAGTTGGCTAATATTCTCAAGAGCTGGGTAAACAGAAAGAAGGGTAAATCTAATCCAAATAATCCCTTGCGCTTTACAGTCTTATGAGAAAAAGAAATCATGTAATTTCAAGAGAATAATGGAAGCAGCAGTACTTGGTTATAATTGCCTTCTGTGAAAACATATTATAAGGTCAAGCAGACAGCCCTTTAGAGGAGTTAAAATGACACTTTCAAACACCGTGCAGAAAAACAGCCACAAAAAACAAAAAACCTTAAGTATCTAACTTGACTTTGTCAGATGATTAAAAAAATATGAGTTTACATAGTTTTGATTAGTTCTTCTTTCAGTTAAATATCAATTTAGTTGAGGTGTCCTATTCAAAGTCATTCAAAATTACCATTTTAAGCAGGAAACCACAGTAGTCTAGCTTAGGTAAATGCAATCTTCCTGTTTGCTGTGTGTGTTAAGTGAGTAGAGATTTCAAAAGAAAGCTAATTAAGAAGGCATAATTCAAAGAATGGGAATCAGAGGGAGAATGTGTTAAATGTCTCTATGTTTTTTCCACTATGGTGAAAGGAGCTATGATCAGACAGATTTTTACTAAGGACCATATGCCAAGTATTATGCTACCGCATGCCAAACTAACACTCCAGAAGAAAGTTGCTTTGTTCCCTTGGGTTCAAAGGAAATCATCTGAAGGATTATCACTCCATGTATAAGTCTATAGGAACTTTGCAGGCATATACATTCTTTCCACCCACTACACTAAATATTAAACTATTTTAATATATACATTCATTGTTTATAAAATAAAATCAATCACAAAAACATAATTTGTGTTTTTTAATGACTATTTTTTTTCTTAAGGACACTTATCCAGATGTTTATATTAACTCCCTTCTATTTAGCTCATTGGACAGTTTGCTAGAAAGGACACAAATTTGCTTCATTATGCCAAGCAATAGGAAAAGCTGCAAGGTGATTTATATTTCACAGCAGAAAAACAAAAAAGCCCAAGGTAGCAAAGCTTAAAGACAAAACCTAATATGAGCAAATATGCACAAAATCTTCTATACTTACTGATGCTATTTCTTACCTGGTTCATATTTGCAGATATAATTGTGCTTCATGTTACACCTGTCATCATTCCATTGGTAAAGGTAAGGACCTCCAAGGCCAGGATTGGCAGTTGGTTGATGATACATCACAACACACTTTTCACTTCCACAGGAAGGTTCATCAGTGTACCAGTTTCTGCAGGAAGAGAGTGACAGAAACACTTTTGAGTAGTTTTGTTTGTTGGTTTCTGACATCTTTACAGGAAACAGAATTTTCGTTCCCCAGAGCACCGCAGGACTCTTTCGGATCCATACTGACCGGTACTGGGAACTGCTTCCATCAGACCACTGGTAGAGATCTGGGCAGGCACCAGATGTTTGACCATCTCCATTTCTCCAAAGCCCTATCCAGAAGTCACCATCAGAAATGCCTGTCCCAGGTTTTGTCAGGTTTTGCAGCATGCTCTCTATTAACTTCTGTTCTGCTTCATTCTCAAGGCTGAGGAGCATGCCTCCCTCACTCTCACAAGCCTGGCGTGCCTCCTGAAAGCTCACTCGGCTGGACAGTTCATGGAAGTAGGCCATTTTGTAGCAAGGATGCTTCGAGTCAGCAAAGCACACCTTTTGGCCTAAAAAAAAAAAGAGAAAAAAAACATACACATACACTTATTATCTGTACTATATTCATTTTTTTTAGAGAGAGAGAGAAAGAATTTTTTAATATTTATGTTTTTGGTTTTCAGCGGACACAACATCTTTTTTGTATGTGGTGCTGAGGATCGAACCCGGGCCGCTCGCATGCCAGGCGAGCACACTACTGCTTGAGTCACATCCCCAGCCCCTGTACTATATTCATTAGGCCACTAATAATCAAAATTAAAGAACCAATCAAGACAGGAAACACACCATCAAGAATGTTTTTCTTATTGAATTCTTTTGTAAAATTTATTTTCTAGCTTATTACTTTCAACTTGTAAAAGAAAGCTGATTCATTTGTAAATTTGGAAGATAACTCATACAGGAATTTAACTTATTAAAAACAAGAAAAGTAAAACAAAACAATTTTACCTGTGATGTTCTGAAGAAGAAGCAAAGTGGCATGTTTACAGTGAAAATTTATTTTTATATGTCTCAAAGCAAATCCATTAAACTAAAAGTTAATAGAGGCCAGAAAGAAAGTAATTATAGAAATAAAAATTATTTAATATAAAAGTATACCAGAAGTAACTGGATAGACTTCCAGAGTGCTGTCTTTGGGGGGGGGGGGGGGAAATCACTCATTGTGAATTCACTGAGTATTTTCTGGTTTTTGACATGTTGTATGTGAACTTCAATCCCTATGCCAACATTTTCTTTGGCTTTATGAAAAATCTAAGATGAATAAATTCTCAGTGAAAACTCCCAAATTTGAACTTAGAGAACTGAGTACTTAATTTTTTTAAATATTACAAAAAATATAAATGGCTTAAAAAGCAGAAAGAATGAAGAAATAATGAAATAAATAGGCTAGTAACAGATCTCAAATTACTAATTATAGCCTTTCTGTTAATTTGATTGGAGATAAGGACAGGCTGAAATTTGAACAAACTTGTCATTTGAAGACAGTTAAAAATAATTAGCCCAAAAAGCGATAAGGTGATAAATATTTGGCAGACTTGAGAACAAATTATTTACCATTGTAGAGGATCTATTTCTACATGAAACATATAGTAAATACCAATGATTTCTTAAAATTTAACCTAAAGAACATTTCATTAAACCAAAGTTAGTTCTTTTTTAATTTGAACATAGTAGCCCTGCATTTTAAAAACATTCCTTAATTTAAAATTATATTAAAATTAATTCTAAATTAATTGTATTAATTATTTCAGATTCTATTACAAATTTTTAGGAATAAATATCAGGGTCGGGCAAATGTTCAAAATCTACACATAAAAACAATATTCAAAGTTTTCAAGGAAAGTTTAAAATGTAATCTTTATTTTTTACTTGTATATTAAAGCCATTTGTAAGTTTTAGCACTGCACTTAATCACCTATCCCAAAATCTATTGACTTTAAAAGGCATTATATATTTTTTAATACATTTGTTTTGTTATCCAGAACTACACAGCAGTTCAAGATGACTCTTGAAATTTCTCAATGGAACATCACCTTTTTCTCAAACTTTATTTTATGACATCATAAATTTACTTCTGGTAAAAACATCTATGAAGTTGTAAATACAGAAGCAACAAGATTTTGCTTAAAATAAACATATTTAAAATAGAATTTCACATACATATTAGGCAGAATATTTTTTTTAATTGGTGGCATAACTGCAATTAGGAATGACCCCATTGGGTCACATTCAAGCCATATGTAAAAGAACATCACAGTAGACAGGATTTATCTAACTTCACCAGCAACAGAATTCCAATAATTCTACTGCTCATGTTTCCCTTATCTTTCACCACCAAACATATAGTGCCAAGATTATAAAGACAATCTCCAGAAAGATCATGCTTTCTTGTTTTGGTTTTCCTTGGTGTTTAATGTTCATCTCTAACCTCCATTGTTAACTTTGTAAACTCTTAGTCCTGTTCTGATGTTTTGGGTCCTGTAAAATAGACCATTTAGTATTTTATGTAAAACTAAGTCAAAATACTTTTCTAATCAATTAAGATATTTTTACTACTTTCTTACAATTCATCTGCATAAACATTACTCTTGTTGGGTTTGAAGGCCTTTTTCGACTATTTATCTAAACTATCAGTAGTTTGGGTTTAGAGGGTGTTACATACTTCAATACTTGTAAAAATCATACAGCTTTCAAAATTTATACTCTTAATTACAGTACAGCACACTGAGCAAAAGTATCATATCCACCCAGCTCCCCAGAATCAGCAATTAATGACCTATGATAACACTCAGACAGAAGGGAGCAGAAATCAGCAGAAGGCCATTAACCTCACAACAGTGTCAGAGTGACAAGCACTCAGAATCTTGACACAAGCTTAGAACATAAAATAATGATTCCAGCAATGCCAGCAAGACAGCCCGTTTTCTCCTTTGTCTTATTAACTGTGATCTGGAAACAGCAACAGCATACGGAAAAATATGAACAAATTAACAGACTGGCTAAACTCACTGTTAACAAAAAATAACATGCTAAATATGAATGACCTTGGGAAACAAGTAAAAGAGACTTCAGCAGGAAGCTTCAGGCTTTGGTCTGAAAATAAATAATCTTTTAAATGAGATGATGGAAGTTCCAATGGTTGACTCTAATATAAATATTGTTTTAAAATTTATCCTTATACATTATTAGTTTTTGTGATGATTTCATTGTTTAAAATGGTTGTTCCCATTGTGCTATTGAGCCCATATTTTTATGCTCGTATTTTAAGAGCAATCTGTGTTTATTTTCATCTGCTACATTCTTTACATATTTCTGAGTCTCCAAATATGTCTTAACTACATTCCCTTGAGTTTCCAATTTGTCTAACTTTTTAATCCAAGAACTTTCAAAACTTGGATTTGATTCCAAACTTTTGAAATGTTAAATTTTCCAAGAAGATTGTTTTATAAGATGTCAAAAAGATTTCAAATTTAAAAAAAAAAAAAAACAGAAAAGTCAGATGTTTTAATGAGCAAATTGTATTTATTTGTAACAAAGTCAGCATATATCAGGAGATGCCTGGCTATGATTTATATGCTAAAAATCACAACTGATTTCCTGTGATATATTAAAAAACAAGTGTCAGAATGATTAACCAGTGATGAGGATACAAAAATAGTGATGAGAATCAATTCATTTGTAAAATTAAGACAGCAGTTCTAATAAAATGCAGAGGACAGCTTTAAGTATCATATGGAAACTCCTAACACTACTGTTAATTTATAGAAATAATAATAATAATAATAATAATAATAATAATAATAAACTGTATAGACAGGTAATATATTTAAAATAATTGACAACTAATACCACATGGACTCTGGACAACAGCGAGCCTTGACACTCTTTGCAGCAGGCAGTCTTTGGTTGTGGATAATGGAATGGTACATGAGTCCTGGATGAAGAAGTGGAGACTGTGATGGCTGCACAGAAAAGGGACCCACAGGGGATAAGGACAGTAGCCAATTTTAAATGGGAACAGATATATGAACTCTAAATGGTATTGACTAAATATTAACTGTGCCTTCAGGTTTTGAAATAAAAAACCACTAGCAAGGCAATTTCCAGGAAATTATGGATACATTACACAATTTTTTATGGTTTACATATAATCAGTTAAAGCTGACACTGTGAATTTCTTTATATCCAATTCTATTTTACTACTGATTTCTACCTTATTGTGCAAATTTTGTCCAAGTTGCAGCAAAATCAGCAGAAGCAGAAGCTTCTGAACCTCTTGCTGCATTTCAACTGATCCCATTTGGCTGCTATCACTGTGGAACTCCAACAGCTGGGAAACAAATGTTGTCCTAATTCCCAGAAACCTTCTGTTAATGCAGATATTCTGGAAGCAACTTTCCCACTTCTGTAAATGCTAATCTTCCTAGAGAACAATTATGATTATCTCCTTCTTTCTGTGAGATCACATGGAGAATTCCCCTGTCTCTTACTTTCAAATGAATATTCAACTAAAACCTTCCATTGATATTTTATGGGAAAGGTAAGTATTCTTAGAATGATTATAGTGTTTTTTTTATTATACTAAGATTACCTTTATACTAACGCTAAATAACTGTAACCCAGTATCTGTAGTTGGGAAAATTCTTTAATTATGGGATTATATATAAGAGACAGACAAAAGAGCTTCCACCCAAGTTTTTAAAAATATATGGAGAAAAATAAAATCCAAGATAGTGTCATTGCACTCATTTTCATTAACATACTCTGAATACACACCAGGAGATTAATACAGTTTAAATCTAAGAAGTATACAATTAAGTTTTTCTGTACTGAAATATTATTTGCACATATACACACACACACATACATACACATACTTTTATTTGGAGATAATTCTTAGTCATGGCTTCTAAAATAAACATTCCTATCACTCACAATTAAAATTCTGCTACTATTACCATTAATAGATGGCCTTGTGTTTTTCCTTAGTTATGAAAATTCCTGTAGAGCTAAATATTGGCAGAGCTTTGAAGTTCTTTGGGGAATGATGTAAAAAGCAAGGCCAAAGTCATGAAGTCATGGCATTTGTTTTTTTCTTTCAGAATAGAAAGGATCAATTAGCTAATTTTATTTTGCTTTTATTATTTATTTTCTTATAGTTGAATATACAGTAATTGTGAAGGTGGCAAAACTTTTCTTATGTCCCACGCTATAATCAAATACTATAAGTGTTAGGTAAGTATTGAATTTAGATCATATTTGTTCAATCAAAACATAGAAGACATATTACAAATTCTTACTTTTAATTATGCATTATCTCTAATTACGAAAAAGCTATATAAAACAGCACTGAACTTTGGACATTTCAATAGAATTCTATAAAATAATTTTTCATAATTCCTTCCTACCTTCTTCAAAATCTCACTAAAATCAATATTGATATTACAATGTACTGGATAGCATGACCTCTGAGAAACATGCCAATATTTTTTAACTAAAGAGAAAGGGAATGCTATTAAGCTTAAGTGTTCTGCTTTTAGGTCTCAGTACACCAATCCCTTAAGAATTTTTATTTTAAGTAAAACATTTTATTATAGAAACTTTTGTTTTTGCATCAGATATTTTATAATGCACTTAGTTACAGAGTGCACTACAGATGGAGACCATACTCATATAAAATCAAATCTGCAGTCATGGGTCATTTTAATGGATGCTGGTGGCAAAAGCAAGCCCTACTTCTGCAGCTGGGAAATACTACAAGCTTTCTGAGAAAGGGATGAGACTTACTGTTTGTTTTTTTTTTTTTCCCAAAATCCTGTTATTTGAAATAGAGATTAGAGTAATAAAGGAAATTGTGTAACAGTGTGACTGAAGAGTCCACTCTTCCAATCAGAAAGAACAAGTTTCCAATGTACACATGGGTTATGGGTATTGGAATTACTTAAATTTTCCTGGCCTGAGTTTTCTTTCCTAAAAAGAAATCAGAGTGTTTATGAGTTTTGTATAAATAACATAATAACCACATCCTGCCATTTATCAATAATTTAGAGTGCAGTACCTCACTTCCATCTCAATCCATGTAATTGGATAAATTAGGAAAACATGATCTCTCCTCACGCTGGATGGCTAAGAAGTCCCCCTTACCACATGTTCAACCAGGAAGTGTTTCCTTCGTCTCTAGGAAGCTTCCTCTTTAGGCACAGCAATCTTTGTTCCCCTCTTCTTGATATGCATTTCTGAGCACAGCACAATTTACACAACTGTGTTTGAAACCGTTTAGTTCTCCGGGCACACCTATGATGTAGGTGTTTTCATCATTTTAAAAATGAGACAAAGGAGGCAGAGAAGTTTAATGATTTTCCCAATTTCCCACACATCACAAGTGTCAAAGCAAGGGTTTAAACCACCTTTCGGGCTCTGCAATTCATTTAACCTGATTTTGATGTTGTCTCCATATTTGTCTCAAACAAAAGATACCAATGAAATATTTCATGAACAAAGATACTGAGGATACAAAGCCACACATTGTGCATGTTATCTATTGTAATCACTAGCATTGATCAATTATTGATTACAGGGAGTAATTATTGATTACTGGGTGTTAATATTACTGGGTGGAAGGGTTTGTGCATTAAGAACTTGTTTCTAAGTAGCCTTTGAATTTACTTTTAGTGAATTTAGACCAGAGTTAATATTGGAATACATGTTGTCTCAGACTTTTCAAACCATATATGTACTTAATGAAGTTTAATCTAGCCCTTTTATATGCTAAACAAAACAAATTAGACCCAAACTAAATGTATTCCCAAAATAAAGTAACTCGCCAAGTTATATTTTGTGTTAGATTTTCAATGATATGATAAAATGGTGAGAGAAGCAATCTTGCCTCACAGCTGTGTACACCCATCCACTGTGTGCAACTGCCTGGCACAAAAGGCAGTTGGAAAGAGTAAAAATTATTGGCAAAGCATCAGCTGGATTACCCTCTGTATCTCTTTATCTGTTACTGCCTCTTTTCTAACACGAATGTATAGGAATTCCCATCTTTAGGAAAAAGTGGCAAAACTAAAACTATAAAATTATGACAAACGGCAGTTAAGGAATAATGATTTTGATAAATGGGTAGTTTATTAAATGACTAGTAATGAAATTAATTTTTTCCCTCCCTGTCCAAGAGATACTTAAAGTAATTGCATATTTGGAAACTGCATGGTCATCATTTTTTTTTTTTTTTTTTGCTTTTGATGATGTCATGAAATTGTTGCACAGGCTGAGATACACCCAGCAGTTCTCTTGTATCTCCCTTACTATCATGCTAACCTATAGTATTCTTCTCACCAACAATGAATTTGCAATACTCTATGTTATCTGCATGATAGAAATAGAAGTTTCTAAATCACCCAGTCTCTGAAATAAATGATATGGCAGTTGTAATAAGATTAAACTAATAACTTTAAAGTATTTGGGAGAAATCTGGAGGTGCCATAAAACACACTTAATGCCATGTTGAAGCATAAGCAGGCTAGGAACCAATGTTGTGTGCACAGAAAAGAGAAAGTATAAGTTAAATAAATAAATAAATGCATTATTTCAAAATACTTAAAATGTTTAAAAATGTTACTTGTTCTTAAACATATTCTGGCAACTTAGAGACCCGAATTTTCAGCCTCGTTTTTCGTATGTATCCATGCAGCACAGGTAAAATTCTCTTACCTTTGTTTTAAAGATGTTACTACTTACTAGTAACATTACAAAATTAAATGAATTTATCCCCCACAAATATTCTCTACACATCTGTGTCTAGTAAGAAATCAGCCCATGTCTAAGTTCCTCAAAATACTTCCTCACTTAGAACATAAATCCACAAATACTCTTTAATTACTATCACCACAGTTACATATATATATATATATATATATATATATATAGAGAGAGAGAGAGAGAGAGAGAGAGAAAGAGAGAGAGAGAGAGAGTTTATTCGTGAATTAAAATAGTTCCTTATCACTCTTCTATGCTACTAAATCTTATGGGTAGAATATTTGTTTACTAAAATAATTTCATCTTATTTTTAAATAATGTTCTGAACTTTAAAAATAATGTATTTAATACTATTGGAAAGTATATTATTGAATATCTTTAATATTAAACTAACAAATATCTATGAAGAATTATTTTGTGAGAGTCTTTTTTGAGGGATATTTTAGTGTACTACCTAGAAATTATGAAGTATTTTATTGAAATTTAATAAATAGAAACTTTATTTCATATGATGTATGTTCCAAAAAATGGCCCCAAAGAGGCTTCTTCAGTTCTCCTCAGACACTTTAGAAGAGATTTAGTTAATGGTCCCAGTGGCATGAGAAGGTCAAGGCATACCAGCAGACCTGTTAGGAAACCCTGCTTCAAAGACGACAAGCATTTGGCTGCTCTCTGCTCAACTCATTATGGCTGAAGTTTATCTTTTGGAAAACAAATTGTCAAAGCATGAAAGTCACAAATCAATTTACAGATGTTTAAATTTCAAATGTGAATTTTATGACTAAAGACAATCTAATTACACATAAGAAAAACATAACCAAGTAATTGTCTTAATATCAAGTAAACATCATCATTTATATTAAATCAAATAGATCATGTTCAGTTAATTAGAAATTTTCCAGATGTCACCTTCAAGATGCCTATAAATTCTTAATAGGAAAATAGAGTTAAGGTTTGGAATTATTTATGTACCGAAATAACACAATATAAACTTTTTGTCAGCAATTTCATTAAGTTTTATTTTTACTTTAGGAATCTTTTTCCTTCCTTTAAATTTTAAGGCATGTAAAAAAGAACACATCAAAAATTATTTTTTAAGTCAAGAAAGTGTTTCTATTTGTTTAAAAAACACCTCATGCTCAAAGCATGGTCTCTGATACTCATTCATTTGCATGAAATTTTCTTGTTGAGACAGGCAAATATTTAATTTAAACTGTTAGGTAGTTCCTTCCAGTGAACTTTTTATTCTCAGCAAAAATTGGGGGAGGGATCTAATACCATAGCTTCTGCACTTCCTGAAAAAGAGTTAATGGAGAGTGATTGATAAGCACACTTTCCAGAATTATATTCTGTCATTGTGAAACAACACTCATTGCTGAAGGGAAGATCGGTAACAATTAAGTTTAATGTGCCATGTTCTACAGGTCCGGCTTCACAAGTGATTAAGTTGCTGTCATCTATCTCTACATCTAGTGACACCTGTTGTACAGATGCACAAGATATGAAAAGGGAGGTAAGTCCTTTTTATGTAAAAAGAAAAAAAAAGGCCCTTTCACCCTTAAAATACATACCCATGTGCATCCAACAAATGTTTATTGCTTTAATAAGCACAGCAAGGTAATTCTACAATTACCAAGGTAATTCTACAATTACCAACATGGCTATGTTCAACCTTCAAGTAGGGCCCTATTCACATCATCCTAGCCACTAAGAATCTACATTTTTTTTAGTCTTTTTCAAAAAAAAAAAAATGGAAGGGAGCTATTTATATGACATATAAATAGCTCAACAAGACAGTGAACGTCGAAAAAGAAAAATCAGAGATAAAGCTGGGAAGCTTGCCAATTTTATCTATTTCCCTTGCACTAATTTGACAAGCTTAATTTTATACCTTCTGTATGCACGAACCTGCAGTGGTTACCAAATACACCTCAATCCAACTCCAGCTGACTTAATTTTCTGAGGCCTTTAACTTGGAAAGGGGTGTGCAAAGGAAAGGCGTCTGTGCAGAACAACCTGTCCCTCATTCCTTGCCTGGCCTGCTGAGAACAAAGGCTGCTTTGCACAGGCATCCGTGAGCGACCAGCACAGAACTGGTCTGGTCTCAGAAATCACCCCTGTGAATATGGTGAGGGAACTGAAGTGGAGTCCGGCCAACAGGGGGTGGCATTTCTGTGGTAGCTCCTCAGTTTCCAGGATCCACGGGCCTCCACCCTACCCCGCCCCTTTTGCAGGTGCCCAACCCTGCCTTGTGGTCAACTGTCTTACAAAGAAAGTGGGAATCACTCCTGCAAAAGAGTCTACCTTTCATTATTTAGCAAGAGTTTGCTCCGCAGCTTCTGGGCTAGACACTAAGAAAAAAAATTAAACTTTTTTCCTATGTGTTTGGAAGAAAAAGAGTAAGAATAAAACCATCCATTTTCCCCCACCTCTTTCCGATCCCCGGCCCCGTACAGGTTTCCAACCTTTGAGACCGGCTCCACCCTGGGACGTGCTGCCCACGGTGCCTCATGGTCCCTTGTCCCATGCAGTCCGTTTGGCTGGCGGCCCCCTGACTCACCGCTGACCACCCGGCGGCAGAAGGCTCCGTGGCTGCAGAGGAGCGCGGCACCCAGGAGCAGTGAGACCACCCGGATCATCGCGGCAAAGCGGCAGCAGCAGGTGTGCGTGGAGCCCAGGCAGCCTCCGCCCGTGGTGCGGCGGGCGGTTCTAACTCCGCAGCCTTCCTGTCTCCCTGCTGGGTCCTAATCCCTCCGCCTGAACCCAGCCGCCAGGGCTCTTGCAGGCATCGCCCTGGGCACGGACCTGCCGCCAGGCGTGTCTGTGCCACGCGCGAGTGTGCTGAACTAGAACGCAGAACTTCAGGGGTGCGCGTTTGGGGGTTAGGGGACAGAAGTTAGGAGGTCGTGTATCTGTTCCAGAGGTGAAGCGGGAACCCCAGTTTGGACCCGACAGTTACCCCTGCTTCTCTCCTTGGCCTCTGGATACTGAGCGGCTGAACCCCTGCGCTCTGATAGCGGCTCTCACAGCAGCAGCAGCGGCTCTGCGCTGGAAGCCCGGTCTTATATACCCACATCCCGAGGTTCCGGCCCCTAGCTAGTAATAATTTTTAACTACTTCGTCTCTCCTGCCAGCGGAGCATCCGCAGCCCCTCCCCTAAAAACTGGAGCCACTTTGAAAACAGTCCAGTCAGCAGTCCCACTCCTTCTCTCCCCTCCTCCCCATTCCCTCTTGCCATTCGCTAACAGACTGGATACTCATTTGTGTAAAATGTGACAGCTTTGCTATTAAACTCTGGCAAAAGTTGGATCCATTTGGTTTTCTCAAAGATAAATGTCCACAACGATGCCAAGTCGTGGGGCCTTTCTCTTTTTATGCTAAATTGCTTGATCATATGTATTGCTAGATGCAGGGCAGTAGCCACTATTTAAAATGGATTGGCAGAGTGGGAGCCAAAACCTACTCAGTGAATTATATACTGTGGCAGGTTTTCCCCCACCTCGGTTCTGCAAATAGCTTATTTCCAAGCAGGTTGTTTGACTAAATTGCCACAGAAGCAAATTGAAAAGAATATTGGAAACATGGTTTTCCCAAATGATTTTGGTCTCACTTTTTGCAACTGGTGAAAGCCATGAAGACAAAATAAATATTCTCACTTCTTGGGAATTTCTTGGATTTCTTTGCAATAATCTGTGACCTAGGGTTTACATTACTAATAAAGCTCATTTTAGGACCTATAAAGGGCTTGACCAGCATTTACCGTACCAGTCTACCCAAGGATTGTTCTACCAGTTTCCTGGTGTATTGGAAAAAAAATCATGAGAGTTTTATCTGTATCTAGTCCATGGTATGAGCCCTGAAAATGCTCTCAAAATGAGCTTTACTAGAATGAGTATTTTCCCATTATGTTGCTTAAATGCACCAGAATTTATTAAATAAAATTCTTTCGTCTTAATAGGTAGTACACCTTCCTCTAACGTCTCACCTTCTTTGATTTTCATCAGTCTTTAGAATAGTCTAAATATTTGTAGTACTGTTTTCTTGGAAAAATGGAACTGCCACTGCCACAGTAAGCACAAATCTTGTAGAATCAAAAAATTTAGCCCTTGGAAGGCTTTTAAATATTATTAAAACCACTCTACTTAAGAAAGTAGAATTCCAAAATAATTACAACTATATGCACCCTATCACTTAATGTTTCCTTGTATTACCTGTAAATATATTAATTATTACTGGGCCATAAGCAATTAGTAAATCTGCCTTGTAGAGTTCCTATGAGTCTCACTGTAATCTAGATGTCCACAAGAAACACACACTGGTGGTGTTTTGCACAGAAAATGGAAAACTGACAAAGTCTGAGGGCAGTAGAGGTGTATTTCAGCCTTGGAAACCATGCCAAAGAGGATCACTGTGCTGGCTATGATCAAGGAGCTGTCCTCCAGGGGCTCCCAGTCCAGTGTAGAGAAAGAAATGCAACAAAATAATGTCTATATGATTAAAAAAGCAATACCTATCCCACAAGAGCAAATTAAGTGTAATGTTAGCATAGAGGAATTAGGAATTCATTTGGATATACATTTAAGGGCACTCTTGTGTAGCACTTAAGGTTAAACGCGATCTACATTGGCTTATGACCTCATTATCTTCTCCAGATGCCTGTAGAACTAGGATTCTGATTTGGACTTACTTTCCTCTTTCATGTCATCTAACTCCCAGATACTTGTGTGTAACCCAGACCTATTATGAAATGCCTGTCTTTGGGAAGGAATACCAGTAGTTTGCAAAACAAACCCTGGATATGATTTCCGTATATCCGTAAACTTCTATTGTCTTTAATTTCAATGATGCTTTAAAATCCACCAAATCCTTGAAACCATTATTGGGAAAGCCACCTCATAATATTAGTATTTCAATTTAGTATGGCATATTGTAGGAATAACTGACTCCCCAATATGGTTGCACAACTTTCCTAAAATGTAGATTTGGATGTTTTAGGCTGGAATTATATCAGTTTAAGGTGGCCACACCCCTTACCTAAGGCTGCTCAACAGTCATTCTGGTAGCTGCTTGATTTAGGAAAAATACTCTTTTTAAATATGATGTTTTAAAGGGGTCTGAATAACCAGATAAGCAAGAGTCTCCGTCACTAAAAACCATCTGGGTGGCTCATCATTAAATTTTGGGAGACTAGAAGACTGGTTTGAGTAGTCTTACGTGTAGAATTTAAAAGTATTGGATACTCTTTTTGGAGAGCACAGGAGGAATTCCCTTGATAGCTTTTTCCCCCCACACAGCGTAGTAGGGAATATAAATTTAAAACTTGCCGCAAATTTTCTTTTCTTCTTCTTTTTTTTTCTTTTGGTACTGGGGATTGAACTCAGATGCACTCGACCACTGAGCCACATCCCCAGTCCTATTTTGTATTTTATTTAGAAACAGAGTCTTACTGAGTTGCTTAGTGTCTTGCTTTTGCTGAGACTGGCTTTGAATTCCTGATCCTCCCATCTCAGCCTCCTGAGCTGCTGAGATTACAGGCATGTGCTCAAATTTTCATTTTTAAACAATGTTTTGAAGTTATTAAAGTGGGCAAAAAGCAACAAATATTTGCTTTTTGTCAGCAAATGATCTTATAAGTAAATGATTTTTTTTTTCATTCCCCACTGTGGATGCGTGATGGATCATAGGAGACAATGGCTTTCTGATAGAAAATGTAAATTAGTTTCAGGCTGGGCCTATAGCTCAGTTGATAGGGTGCTTGCTTTGCATGCACAAGGCCCTGGGTTCAATCTCAAGCACCCCCCCCCCAAAAAAAAAAGTAAATTAGTTTCAAAAGAGCCAAAAAAAAAAAAAGTATAAGTATCAGAATTGTGTGCAGATCAATCATAAGATGAAGGACTTCCTTAAGGGCAAGCAAGAGACCCCAGTGTTTGTAAGAAATTGTCTATGCCTGGAGCTAGGACCCAGGTCAGCTGAAGCCAAGATACAACAACGCCATGTGACTGGCAACCAGGAGAGAAGCACCCCCTCAAGGAGAAGCTCTCTGCCCAGTAAAATTAAAAAAACAAAATAATAATAATACAAAAGAAATTTTCAAATGAGAATATCAAACTGATTATGCCAAGAAATACAACAACAATTCAACACCTATAATCCATCTCTCTCCGTGCCCAGAAATAGAAAGGTGACCTCAGTAAAGATGGCCCCAAAGTAATCTCAGACTGAGTTGATCATTGAATTCCCAGACACTTTGTTACATCAATAGAGCAACAGTATTTAAAATCATGAAATATGAAAGCTAGCATCAGTGCCTTTAATAGCATACTATGGAATCTGGGTACCTAAAATATAATTTGCTTCTTTACTCTCCCCATTCACTTTCAGATGTTTGCAACCCCCAGTGAGCCTGAATTCTAGGCTTTGATTTGCATCCAGTGGCTTCTCTTTGGACACCTTTACACAGTAGCCTCAGCCTCATTCACATAAAGGTTCATTCATATGTACAATGGTCTATAAAGAATTTGTTTAAATGCACAAATTATCATAATTTTATATTCATATACTTGAAATGTCATCAAAAATTAATATTAATTTTTTTTCATCTGTCACACTTCATTTTATGATGATTAATGATTCTCCTAAGCACTATCCATGATATTGCCAGTACATAGCAAAACAAATATTTGAAAGTTTAAAAATAAAACGTTACTATATAACAACTACAGCAGAAAGCAAAAATCACTTTTGTTGTTGTTGTTGTTCTAGGTAATGGTTTATCAAAACTTACAGGAAAAGAGCATTGAATTTAAACTTTTTCCTCTCGAATTTTTACAGACATCTTAGCATCTATGCAGGCATATAACTAGCTCAAATGCAAGGATGTGCAGACAGTTAAATCCCCCTGAGATTCTCTTGTTCTTTTCAAAACATGTCTGTGCTGTACAATGCATGACCTACCTCATTCAGGAGCCAGTCCCACTGTTCCTGATAATGGCAGATGCCTAAACCTTCACGAGCTAACTAGGAATTCTCTATTGCTCATAGTGATGTTAGAAATGCAATGAGGAATTATACACAGTACAAAAGCTGTTTATCTATAACTTGAAATTTAAATTTAGTAACCAGTAAGTCTTTTATATGCTGTGGCCATTCAGGTAATAAGTAAAAAATATTTATAGATCTCTATGAACAGGAATATAGTTGATCAGATCTGAAGAATCATATATGTGAATTTTTAACTAAAAGTTCACTTAGTAAATTATTATTTTCTTTGGTTCTTTATTAATATAAAACAATTCAATAAATTACCAATATTACCTATCTAGCATAAGTCAATATTTTTACTTTAACTGTAGCTTACTTACTAAATCTGGCCTAAATATAATACATTAATGCAAGAAACCACATTGAGATAATCACACATTTAAAAAAATATATAAGCTAAAGTTATCTTTTCTTACAGTTTCTGATCTTAGTTACTAGGTACTTTACTGACAAACTTTATATGAGGGTGGTTTTGGAAAGATCACTTGACTTGCACAAATATAAATCCAAATTTTTAGGTGCCATCTTTGACAAGTTTCTTCTTCTCTTTGTTTTACTTTTAAAATATGAAAAAGTGATTTTAAAAAGTTCTGTGCTCACCAAGTGGACAACAGTCTGCCCCAGAAACTCTGTTACTATATTACTATATTTCAAAACTTTTTCAAATCCTAAACCTTATTGTTTCCATCCAGAATGTCACATGTTTTCTGCATATAATAAACACTAATTCCACAAACTTATGTAGATCCTATGATTCTAATGAAATATACTTTGATTTTAAAATGTCACTAAATTCATGAAATTGCTTTGCACATATTTTTATCAACATTTTCTGAAAGAGCACTTAATATTATTTGGAGTCATGAAAAAGAAAGTATGTTAAAAATAAGCCTTCATACTCTAAGAAGATGGGAATTATTAGGCTTGATTATTTCTGATGTCCTTTTAAGCTTTATAATTCCATTTCTCTAAATTTAGGTGTTCTGCTTTACATAAGAAGCATCTCCC